TATAAAAAAAAAAAATATATATATATATATATATATATATATATATATATATATATATATATATTGATTTATTTATCAAAAAGCAACCAAGTAATTAAAAATAATTTATTATTTTCTGAAATAATATTTAAAAGTGAATGAAAATTATGTTATATAATTTTTTTTTAATTTTTCAAATATATATAATAATAATAATAATAACAATAATAATAATAATAATATATAGAAAGAACTTGGAAATTCGCTATCAGTTTTTTGTTTTATTACTCCAAATCATTAGCTCATACTGTTATTATCATCTCGTTGATATACAAATGTCGTATGTTTAGCTTAATTATTAAAACTTATAAAATATTTCTACTTAATCATTATAATTCACATTGAAATTTTCAAATCTATTTTTATCCCACATCGAAGCTTCCGTAATGTTGATAAAATTAGTTTTTACATTCGATTGATAAATTTTTTATGATTTTTCAGATTTCATTATTTTAAATGTGAAGTTAAATTTTTCTATGCTTTTTATGATTATGAATATTTCTATTGATATAAAATAAATAATTAATTTTCTATCTAACAATTTAATTTATCATACTTAAATAATTTAATATATCATACTTAAAGAATATTTATACATCGTATAACGTTTGTTACTATTATATCCAATAAAAAGCTATTGAAAGAAGATGCGCACTATCACAATGATCATTATAATTATTGTTTTTCATTGTAAGAATTACATACTTAACAATATTCAAAATGAATGCGCTGAATCCATATTTAACGAATGCCCATCCAAATATCCTTACAATAGCCCTCCATAAGCTTGGCACTTTGTTCTTTTTTTGTGCATTCATCAGTTCTTTCTCCCATGATCTATAAAAATGAAACAAGCAAATGAAATTGAAGTCAATGTTAGAAAGTGTATCTATTGAACAAAAAATCGTAATATTCACATTTCCAATGCATCCCCAAGTATTTCGCTCATATTTTCTGGTAGAATATCATAAAGATCATTTGGTTTCAGATTATGATTTTTTCCGAGCCAAAATAATTTACGTAGCCACCTGAAAGGATAATACACATAACAGGGGAAAATAAAAATATTATTTATTTGGCTCTTATCGAATAAATAATTTTATTCGAAATGAAATCCGTTTTATCAATTGACTGTTATTTAATCATATTTTTAATAACCTACTTAGGTTAGCAATAATCTACTATTACAAACAACAATTAATTAAATAATTTAAATATATATATATATATATATATATATATATATATATATATATATATATATATATATATAGACATTTTTAATTTAAATACACTTTATATTCAGTCAATTATTGTATATCGTTTATATATAGGAAGAATTATTTGCATATAATGCATATAATAGGTTATTTAAAACGATATAAAATATCCAGTAATTATTATTATTAAATACTTTAATTAAAGTGAAGCGAGCTATTCGTGTAAAATTATCATAGTTGATTTTATAAATTCAAAGCCATTGAACAAGAAGGATTATTTTGACAATCTCCATTATCTAATGAATAAATCTAAATCGCTTAAAACACGGATAATTATTAGTTATTTTAGAAAGCTTTCTTTTAATCACAATATGCGTAATCACTTTGCAGTAATTAATACGAATTATTTGGTATCATAAACAAATGATTAGGTGCTATTGAAAGGTGCAATTGTTTTTCAGAATAATACCAGTTTATCGTAAGAGACTGCAAATATTACTTAGAATAGGAACTATTATAAATTGTGTTTTTATAAATAATATAAATAAATAAGTCTTGAAATTTACATTTGCAGTTTTCATTTCAATAATGAACAATGAACATATTATTAAACTTATAAGATCGCGATATGCTATTATTATTAAAAACATAATACAACATGTGTATATGTAATCTTTTATCAGCTATAAAGGTGCAAAAATTTTCTAAAATTCAAATTTTGATATAATCATAGATTATTGTAATACCAAGATACTTTTATAATTTTATACTATTTTTATATATAACTAAAATTTGTAATGATTATTATTTATTGTTGTAATAGTGATAGAAGAAAGTTTTTAAAAAATTTAATAAAATTATAATATCTAATTAATTATTGGGATGAAATTAAAAATATATAATATCGCATAATATCGCCTATATAAGAATTTCTTGGCCCAGATATTATTATTATTTATAAATGAACATAATTGAAAATATAAGAATATTGATTTAATACTATAATTATTTAAAAAATTAACACATATATAGATAATTGAAAATAAAGTCATCGAGGAATTATAAAAATAAAAAAAATTCTTGTTAATAAATTGATAATGTTTCAAGAAAAAATGACAAACCAATAGTTTTCACGAATTACGAGTATCTCTTTTCAAGTTATTTGTAAATTAAGTGGTTTTTTTTTTTGTATAATATAAATCAAGGTACTCGTTATCTTATAATATTGGAATTTTCAATTTCCATTAATTGATTAATTTTTTAAAATTTTTTTTACTTACAACTTATAAAAAAATTGCAAAATAAAATATATCAAGCGTTGATTTATAATCGGCAAATCTTACATTTATTTACAACTAATTAATAGTGTATTGATTAGTTATTCAATCATAATGATAATTACAATAACGGTGAATTTCCATAAATTAAAATAAATCAGTGATTTTCAATAATTTTGAATCTTTGAATTGATTATCATTTAATTAATGAGCAATGAAATATGAAAGTTTCTACATGAGAGTAAATCGGACATATTCGAGCATTACAGCTGATATTCGTTAAAAGGTAAAATGTTGTATTAATGTAACTGTAATAAATTAGAATTAAAAGTCGTTGTAATTAATGTTCAAAGTCACATCATATATACAATTAATTACCATCAATTTACTAATATTAACACCGTCAATTTTTATTAAAGCGATAAATTAAAATAATTAGCTAAAAGTAAAAGAAAACGAAGATTTGTTAGGATATGTTTTAAATAATTTCATTAATTAATAACAATATTTAACTTCTTGGAAACAATGAAAAGTCCATTATTTCAATTATAAATGAAATATTATGGTATATAATATAATAAATGAAAGTTATTTCGCAATTTATTGTTGATAAACAAAAAATCATTAATTTCCACATCTCAGATTACAATATCTATTTAACTCTTCAATTTACGTTTTAAAGACTATTTCTATTTTCAATCATATAATTTAATTTTTTAATGTAATAATCGAGTATCGCGTTAAAATGAAAGATTTTATTAATTTTTATATATGTATACATGAATTCGATTGTGCTATATTATGTTTTATACCAATTTGAGTTTATGCATCGGCGGATGTTGCTATTAACGCGAAAGTGATAGAGGTAAGTGTCCTGCAACCATGTTTGATGATATTTTTTAATACAAATTTAATAATTTAGTTTGCATACTCTTAAGTATTAAAACGGCTCGTTGAAAAATTCTATGTAATCGATTACAATCGTAAAGCAATAAAAGGAAGCATTAAAGGTTAACGACTGACAAGACAAATATTTTACTTGTAAAGATTAGGCAAATATGAAACGGTATATCTCATAGATCTCTTGGATTAGTTTATAAATGTTATTCCAACTTTAAAAATCCCTTTGTAAATAGCCAACTAACCATTTTAATTTTATCTTTCTCGCTTGAAATTTTATATCTCATGGCAAACAATTAACGTAATAATTGTAATCAAACATTTTTTTCCGACCTTTTCCTTAAACTACTTCCGTATAAATAAATATACAATTAATGCCAAATGCAAAATACTATCCAAGTTCCAATGATCGATAAAATAATGTTTATGTTAACAATAAATGCTTCTGACGTCTAATTACATGGCAATAAGTATAAAAATTTGTCATTGTTAACTAAATGAAACTAGCGATTAAAGTATTTGTTGTAAAGTACGCATTCTCGAGTTTAGCATTATTTAATGGAAAAAGAAGGGGAATGGAAAAAACGATTGATATACGTAATCGAAATATTATTCAAATGCATTAGATTAATTTCTCTTAATATTATACTATTTTAACAATCTAACTATCATACTTGTTTGTCAATGAACAAAGTGCTTACCAAAATGATAGTTTGCTTACGAAATTGGCGGTAAGCTTAGGACATGGATTGTCCAGCTTTTCATTTTCAACATCCATTGTGGTTTATTTACTATTTGCTAATTCCAGCGTCACTCTTAGGTAGGCATATTCGACTTAATAGAACAGTTGCAAATCGTAACGATACAATAATTATCAATGCCATGCTCGCATTGACAATTGATACTTTTTCTATTTTTAATCTGTAGATAATATTTTACCATTAGATAAGTATTAAAATATTAATTTATTTATAAACATTCCTCACGCATTACACGAGAAAAATATTATAAATGATTAGCTATTTGATAGATTATAGTAATTTACCGATAAAAATTATTTATATAAAAAATATATTTCCGAAATTATTATACAAAAATATTTGTGTTTGTTTTTTAATAGCTTGTTAAGCACTTTTATTTTGTAATATAAATACAAGTTTATTATTAAATATGTCTTTTACTAATATGTAACTATATATATATATATATATATATATATATATATATATATATATATGTTTTTGCAATTTCAATTCCTATGAAAAATAAACGTCTTAATCGAATATTTATAATACACATAGTTGTAGTAAATAAAAATATTTCTTACAGGTATTTTTATCGATAAATATATCGAAATTACATATGTATATTTAATATTTGGCACGAAAAGCAGATGAGATTAAATGGGAGACTTTAACCATAAAGATTGAACAATTGAAACAATTTAACAAAAAATTTACTTACTAAAACCAAATTTTATTTATGTTTTTTTTTTTAATTTTTTTTTTTTTTTTTTTTTTTTTTTTTTTTTCGTTTATATTGAAATGGAACTTACCTTAAGTCGTTGGGCTTGATTGGACTTGAGTTCTTTTTCTTTTCTTTTCTTTTATTATTTATTCATTTTTTCGTAGCTCTCGTATAAAAGCTTTATTTAATCGTGAATGAACAGATCTTTTTATTTATGACTCACATACAACTATTGATATAGCTTGTACATAAACAGACTTAATCGTCAATTAAATATGATAATGATCATGAGGACGATGCGTGGGATAGTAAATGAACAAATATAATTTGTGCTTAATGAGAAAATTAGTTTTGCGAATGCACAAGTATAAAAAAATCTATTTAAAATAAAGTAATATTTTCTTCAAAATATACCGCTATAAATAGCAAAAATTTAGGAAAGATTTAAAGTTACGTATAATAAAAATATATAAATATCATGAATGATTAGCATATAAAAACAAAGAAATGGTAAAAAAAGTTCTTTCTATAATTGAATAATATTAAAAATAATAAATAAATTCTTTAACAATTATAGTAAGTCGTGTAAAATGTATTTATCAACTAATAAAAGCATTAAACAATAATATGACAATTTGTTATTTTGTTAACACTTGGTTCGAAAAAATTATATAGAGATGAAAATATGTTGGAAATTTTCTTCGCCATATTTACGATTAATTAGAATTGAATTGATACTAATACTAAAGATTTCACCTGAGAATGAATTTAATGAGTCATAATTACCTGCTTAATTTAAGGTAATTAATTAATTTTTAACTACATTGAATTTGCAATTAGTACATTGCTATGATTTCCTAATATTGATAACGCCACAGCTTTATTGTACGTGATAAGAAAAATTCATCTTTCTAATTTGACGTGCTCACGCTCCTATGAATATAAAAAATAAATATAAACATATAACAATATTACCGATTTTTGGTGAAAATTAAAATATTTAAATGTACGAATGGCTATAAATGTTTTAAGAAACTTTGAGACGATTAACAAATCTACACGTAATAATTATAATTAAGTATAGTAGATAAAATAAGGTGGCGGAGAAAATATAAGATCGTAGACTTTATATTTCTCTAAATACACTTACTATGGAATTGCAAAACCAAGCAATTAAAAAATACTTTTTGTAAATTTGCAATTCGTACAATTACGTTTATGAAAAAATTGCACTTTTACGGCGATCGATCGAAGCATTCATCATCTTTTAATCCTCCGATAAAAGAAACTGAGGAACTAGAAGAAATTCTATTGAAAAAACTTGACACATTAATACTAACACAGCCGATTGTATATTTCTCTATTTATTTATCTCTTGTGTATTAATTAATAATAATGTCCGTAACGTGTAGTTATGCTTGGGAGCAGCTGCCGCAGCGTTATGACTGGCGCAGTGAATTTTCAGACCAAAACTGACTGAGCGAAGCGAGCTTCATTCTTCTGCCCCACGACGATTTCAGATCGCTTATCCATTGAATTCCACGTGCGTGTTTCTTAGGCTGCTTCTGCAGTCGAGCTATCGGCTTCATTTGTTTAAGAATTTACATTTTACTTGTCCCGCCGAGCTTTCATTAGTCATTTATAAGACAACAGCCGCGACTTTAACAATTAATTGCACATGCCTGCTGACAATTTGGTTGGAAATAAAATTTGGAAACACAACCATTGTAAAAAATTTATTATATTCGATCGTCATCTCCTCTCCTCTCCTCCACGACCGCCGATCAACCACCTAAACTCCCTTCTCTCCTCCCTTCCTCGCCGCTCACCGCTCGCCGCTCCCCGCTCACCGCTCACCGCTCCCCGCTCCCCGCTCCCCGCTCCCCGCTCCCCGCTCCACGCTCCACACCCCATGGAATCCACAACTTTTGTTTAAAAGGAAATGCCTCGAGTACGTAGTGACAAATTAATAGATAAAAGATTATCCAAAAGTACAAACACGTGCGAGCGTCAATTATTCGCGCGGGCGAATTTCTTAATTATTTATTTTAATCGGATATTTTAATATAAATAATTAAGTTTGTAACATTGTATTATTTACGCCGAGCTGTTTATCAAATGCCAATGCAGAGCTCGTGAAATTCCGAAGATGTAGATTCTTAAATATTAATAGTGCAATTTCAAAAATACCGTATGTAGCGTCGGCGATTATTATGACCGATATTGACAATTTTCTTTCCTTCAAAATTTAATTCCTCGTCTAACGCGTCATTGGAATCCGAATGCATATAGTCCGATAAAATTGCAATTTACATTATAAATCGAGCTATTTGTATTGACATTCTGAGTCATAAGACTCTGAATCAGAGGCTTGCATTTAAAATATAGTTTTGGCAAAAATTTTTTTGCAAAATTTGGCAGTATCGAGAGCTTATAAATTCGAGATACAATATGGCGAATTTAATTCTGATAAAGCTCTCTTAGATTTTACATTGTTGATACGTGGAATGGGAAAACATAAGCAGCCACCAGGAAGTGTTTAATATCATAAAAATCACATTGATTTTAATCGTATATTGGGGATAATTATTTTCCAGCGTTAATTCCGAGTTAACTCCGAGGTATTGTAATTGTATTTTAGATTAATTACATTATCGATGTATTAGTGAAATTATTAAATATTTTATTGGCCAGTTATATAAATAGATGATGACATATTCTCTAGAAAAACTGTTTTTATCATAATTGTAATTTTAATTGTAATTGTGCAACGAAATACGGAGGTTGAAATGTAAAATTACGATAAAATTATTTCAATTAGTAGATGCCTATCAGGAGCAGAAAAGAAAAGATTTATGCAAAATTGTCACAGAAATTATAAACATTGGTGAATTCAAATATCCAAACTGTCAATCAAAAGATTGTTAATATTCAAAATTGTATTATCGATTCATTATACTCTAAGCTTTAAAAGATATACAATTATAACAGTATTATTTAATTATTGGTAATAATTTTGACATATTTCTCTCGATATTAGTTTATTACTGCAATTTTTTAAACAATTCGTAATAGTGTACGAGCTTTTCGAAAAGTAAATCCGTTAAGAAATATATACAATTAAATTATAAAACAACACGATAATTGTGCATGTATTTATTATCTCTCTCGTATTCGTTAAATTTAATTTATTAAAACAATAATTATAATTTTATTATCCGTTTCTATTTGCATTAATATGACGGAAAAGAAGAACCCGGTATAATTTTAACATACTCGAGGCTTCGAACACATTCGAACACATACATGTCCTGAATGGATTAAATATTTTATTATCTGTTTAATTTCTGCTTATTAATGCTTATATTCATTAAAACATACATAATATATGATAATAAAAAGATTCATTTGGCATTCAAACTTCCTAAATCAGAATTAAATTCAAATAAATGTTACATCCAACTCATTCTTTACTGATCATTATTATTAATATAAAATCATGATCAGCGAATGATTTAGAAAATTAATTTCCATAACGAAGATAAAGAAATTTGTTGGGAATGAAATGGGTATTAAGTTTATCATTCTTCAGGTTATTTGCAATCATTGTCAATGTAAGCTTCTGCCATCACCGATAATTCATAAATAACAAACTCACTTCCTCACTGTACATATATTATCGTACATTTTCGATCATTTACATTAAATTATTATATTAAAAAAAAACGTTAAGATGGTTATCCGTTAAGATGTAAAAAATTAAAAAAGAAAAATATCATTTCTGCTGTGTTTAGTGGTAAAATTTTTCATATATTTATATAAATTACAGTACAAATATAAAATAAATACATGATTATTACATATTCAATAAATAAATAAAATATACATTATATATATATATATTGTTGCAAAACTTTCCTATAAAATCTTTAATGTCTCGTAATTATTCTAAAATACAAGAATTCTAATAATTAACAAAATGTAGTCGTATATTTATATATTATTATTGTTTTCACTGTTAAAATATTCAAGTTGAGAAAAAATCATTTTGTGATATTTTATTGGACATTAGAATGGTTTACTTGGTAAGACAAAACAATTGTAAGATCTCTTTAACTTTTTAATGCTTACACATTATATTCAATTCTATATTAAAATAATTTTCAAATTTATTTGTAACTATTCAATATTTATTTATATTTATAATATTTTGAAAATATAGCTTAATGAAATTTTATATATTTGCATGCGTGATAAAGATAAATTTTCTTTGTCTTTATCAATCAAATGTAGGCAAATACACCGGCAGATCACAATCTCCTCTTTTAACTTTTATATTACTTCGAAAATAATTTTTATAACGAGTATTTTTAGAAAATATATAAAAACATATATTTTGTATCGAACGTATTGAACGATTCAATGTTTTTTATTTTTTATTTTTTATTTTTTATTTTTTTTTTTTTTTTTTTTTTTGCATTTTTAAGTAATAAGCAAACATTTTAGATAAAGATCAGTAAATTTACAGTTGATTGCATACTTAATTTATTAAGCCTTGGATCATATCATACATTGAACTTTTATTTTGTGTGCTTGATCTAACTTTATGCTTTTTCGACGATCGATAATTCAAAGTAGATAATTGTATGAATAAAAATGGTCATTGAAAAAGGACGTGGGAAACATTAACTCAAAGTCGAAGAGACAATTCAACCAAGAAGTCGATCATCTCCGTATCGATACCGAGCAACTCATAAATTTTCAAATGTTTATGAAAACAGCCTAAGCTTCTTTCGATATTTTATTTCTTATTTACTTTTTTCTCAAAATGCCATAAGATGAAACGAACAATCAACTTTATATAATTTTTTAAACTGAAATATCAAATTGAATCGATCGCCTGTGCCAGTTCTAATGAACTATGTTTGTCGATCTTCAATTTAATAATTTACATTATAATGATTATGATTTAAGAATAGAATATATTTTTTATGTTTGGCATTTTAATTATGAATAAAAATACTCTATTCTTTCAACGGGGACTTTCATTGATTAAAATTTTACTAGAATTATTAGATCAGAGAAAAAAGTGGTGGCTTAGCAGCTTCACAATGTAATTTCATAAATCCACATATCATGTTCAATCTTACTAGCCCCATACAATCTTTTTTTTTAATCACCTAAACGAATGCCCCATAATTATCCTATAAGACATTCACTCGTTTTGTTCAATTAACAAATGTATTTATTATATTGTTCTTGTTCTCCGTGTTAAAAAAGAACTCGATAATGTCATCCGAGAGTACCGTTTGAAATCTTCCTTTTCACAAACTTAGTATATTAGTATATTTTAATGAGTGTACATTTGGATTACGTACGACATTCCACTACCTACATATAATTATAACGAAGATCTGAATAAAAATAATATTACAGCGATACGTAAAGCGCTAGCTTCGATCGAGCCTAAAAGTAAAATATAGAATTTCAAAAATTTCCACAAGACCGTAGAAATAACACCATTAATATAGATATTGCAATAATAATTTATTATTAATATTAAAATCCATTTCAATTAGTTGAATTTCGTACGAAAGATAAATAATCGATAAATAAATAAGTTTCGAATTCCGTAATATTATATGCTACATATACAGGATTATTAACAATTTTTCTCAACCAAAGGCTTAAATATAAAAAACAAAAAGTCAAAGCAAATTAAGTATCTCTCAAAATATTCCATAACATTTATCTATGAATTTAGAATACATTATTTTTTATAACTATAGAAAGAATTGGTATTTTTAGCTTCGATTTCTTACATTTTATCGTTATTTTGACCCAAGTATTCCTCCAAAGTAATTAAATGAATTCGTGGATAAAGTTATGTGGTATCAATAAAAAATACACAAGAGCATATCCATTTCTATTTATAGAGCACCAAAATCATGTATATTTACAGAATAAAGTGTAAAAATATATAATGCATATAATTATATTGAACACTAATAGATAAAACTGTGATTTATTTCAAAGATAAAATTGAATCGTCTAAGTACTCAGTTATAAAATTTATTTTACATATTTAATAAATCTTATAACTCATAGATTCAAAGTATATGAATTGCCAGACACGCGTGATTCGTATAAGTACGTAACATTATCCAATTAACACAGTATAGTTAAGTTCGAAAAATCATTAAGATTTGTTTAAAAGTGATTAAGTAAAATAAAAATTATACAATTTTTTGTTTAATCACAAATATATGAATATATATATATATATATATATACATATATATATATATATATATATATATATACAATTATATTATTTTTTCACAATTGCACTTTTGTTATTTTCATCATCGGAAACTAAATCTATCGAGCTGGTTCGTAAGTCTTTGTTGAAGGCCTGAAACAATAAATTATTGTGTTACATTACTGTTTTATAAACAGAATATTTTTTTATTGTAAATTTCTAATACTACGCTCTGGGCGCGAGTACACACGCGCGCGTGTGTATGCACATATGTATTTTATGTATAATTAAATTGTGTACTTTTTAAATAAAAATTACATTATTTGAAGTATTCAAAAATAAAAAATAAAAAAAAATAATAAACAAAAAAATAATAAAAAAAGTCTCTAATATAATGAAAATGCCTTTACCCAATATTCCATTATAACTTTAATTAAGTATCGCTTCAAAGCACCGCGCATACAATGATGAACGAAGCTTATCTCAAGTCTAACGACTATGTTATAAAAATTCTTCGTTCTAATTTTCTATGAAATGCGCGATACTCTGGCGGAAAATGACAAAAAAAAAAAACAAGAAAAAAAAGAAAAAAAGAAAAAAAAGTTACAAGATAATTGCAAGTAGATAAATAAACCTTTTCGGCAATTTCTTTTAGATGCTGCGCCATATTATTGCCAGTTTGTTGGACCATTTGAGCTAAGTAGCCGTCGTTGCACTGCAGTAAATTATGAGGATGGTCGTACTCCACGGCTTGGCCATTCTCCATAACGAGCAACTTGTCGCAGTCCATAATGGTGTTGAGTCTGTGCGCTATAGTGAGTACCGTGCAATCCTTGAAGTTCACCCTAATGGTCTTTTGGATGAGGGAGTCCGTGATGTGATCCACATTGGCCGTGGCTTCGTCGAGGATCAGGATTTTGTTTCTCTTGACGATGGCTCGCGCGAGGCAGAGCAACTGACGCTGACCGGCGCTCATGTTACCACCGCCTCGTGTCACCGCGTGCTCCAACGAGGCGAAGATCTTGTCGAGCTCGACCTCTTGCAGCGCGAGCCAGAGGGTCGCGTCGTCGGACTCGTGGAAGGGATCGAGATTGTCACGCAGCGTCGCCGAGAAGAGTATCGGCTCTTGGGGCACGATGGAGATCTTGTTACGCAAATCATTCAGGCCGATTTTACTGATGTCCACGTCGTCGATAAGTAGGGAGCCATCGATTTGCGAGAGGCGGAACAGAGCCGTTATCAATGAAGATTTCCCAGCGCCCGTGCGCCCGACGATTCCAATCTTAAACAAAAATGAACTTTAACAATAGAGGACTTAGGACGGCATAAGCATTTTTTTTTTTTACAAAATATACATATATAACGTACCCCGTGTGTAAAGTATAGATTGTAGGAACCGTAAGAAAGAAAAAAGGAAAGGAAAAAAAAAGGGAAAAAATTTTAACTAAATGACTTTCGAAGAGGTTTGTAATAATTATCGCAACAATAATAATAATAATAATAATAATAATCGTAAAAATCTTGCGTTATTGCTAAGGGGTGAATGTAAGTGTGGCGGCGTATCGGCAAACACTCAACATATACAACCAAAATGTCAAATACATAGGTTGTGGCTGTGTTACCGATTCTTCTTCGTTAACATCTCGAGATAATAAAGGCTCGCCGAGTGAGAATTACCTTCATTCCCGGCTCCACGACAAATGTCAGATTCTTCAGTACGGGCTCGTTCTCGGCGGAATACTTCAGGTAGACTTCCTTGAACTGTATCCTGCCCTTTCTCGGCCAGCTCTTGTTCGGCTTCTTACCGGGCTCGCTCTCGAAGGGCCCCTCCTTCTCCAGCTCCGTGAACTGGAACATCCTCTCGACGCTCGTCATCTGGGCCATCATCTCCGCGGTTTGTCTCATGCCGTACTGCAGCATGCCGCAGAGTATGAGAGACTGGGATATGGCCAGGCCGACGTTACCCGCGAATGGCTTGCCATTAAAGAAATCGTTGCTGTCGATCACGATGAAGCTGTACGTGACGAAGGCTACGAAGGTGATCGAGACGATGTCAAGCCAGAATCCGAAGGCCGTTGAGGTTGAGAGGATGAGGGAGTAGGCCGCGGTGTGCACGTCCTGGAGTATATCGAATTCCTTGCAGGTCATGGCTTGCGCCCCGCATGAGCGAATTGTCAGCAGACCGAGGAAGGAGGTGTTGGCGTGCGAGAAAACCGGACTCTTGGCTAAACATGTGTAACAATACACTTGCAGTCTTGATCTCGATCGATCGAGGGTATTGAATATATTGAGTCTGAGTGAGATTGATTTAACGAGATCGAGTTTAATGATGTTCCTACTACTACTACTACTACTACTACTACTACTACTACTACTACTACTACTACTACTACTACTACTACTACTACTACTACTACTACTACTACTACTACTACTACTACTACTACTACTACTACTACTACTACTACTACTACTACTACTACTACTACTACTACTACTACTACTACTACTACTACTACTACTACTACTACTACTACTACTACTACTACTACTACTACTACTACTACTACTACTACTACTACTACTACTACTACTACTACTACTACTACGGAGAAATTTAGTAGTAGTAGTTGAATTTTATGAAATATCACAGTCTGCCCAAGCTCGCGAGCTCGGGCTTAACGAAGCTTCATTAAAATTTCCATGAATTTTATATTTGATTGAACTTACCCTAAGGCGATTCCATTCGCTACGCTAACCTTAATCGTTTAAGGAGATCGAAGACTCAATTACTTAAATACTTCGCGAACGTCCATTATAAGCTACGAGCGTCACGAGTGCTATCGACTTACATAATTTACCATATGATTTGTAAATGACGTGTAAACATTTATTATTAATCAATTAAGACGGTTAATAAGATCTCCCATTGTATTGTAAGGTGAACAAAACATGCTGTGATAATCGATGTTGGAAGCCGACTCGGGAATCGATTATAATGGAATAGATAAGTAAACGTGTCAATTATGAACGTGAGTGGCATGGTGGAGGTGAAGGAGGTGAAGGAGATGAAGTATGAAGAAAAAGAAGCTATGAAGAAATCGAAATTAGAATAATTCGTAGATTGTGGAGGTGCAAGGCGCCGATAATAATCCAAGTCCGAACGAGTATCGAACAATAACTAAAAGCTTTCAAAGTGTAAATATTGCACTAATTAGATAAACAAAAACAAAACAAACAAACAAAAATGAACAAAAATGAACAAAAATGAAAAAAAAAAAAAAAAAAAAACAATGACATGAAAATTGTTCGTTAACACTGATGGAAATTTAAGGAATTCAAGAAAATTTGTCTTACCATTGCCCTCTAGCCTCTTAATATCTTGTGCGCTAGCTAAATAAAGATTTCTAATTTTCAGATAAAGAAAACCCATGACCAGCATAGGAAAAATTGTCCACCAATTTATTATAAGTACTTGCATCATAATTCCAATCATAACGGAAAATATTTGAAAAGCCTCGAGCATAGCCATTGGTAAAGTCTCATCCACTGCTCCGGTATCTTTTGAAAAACGATTGAGAATTCGACCTACGCAAAATTACAAATTAGTCACTTACATAACAACGAATGGATTTTTGTTGTCTTAATAGCAAGCCATATTATATCATGAATGCTGATTAACGAGTAGTGGAGGACACATATGGAATATCATACCCGATGGATTGACGTCGAAAAATCTCATGGGCGCTTTTAAAAGAGCCGAGAACATGGCATTGTGAAGGGTCTTGCTCGCATTCATGCAAACCTTGCAGAACAGTATATTCTTAACCGTCGACATGACAATACTACCTACTATTAAAATTGTATAAATAAATACAGTTGTAGATATATTAAGATAAAGCTTGTACTTCTTATAAAACCAGGTATTCTCCATATTTTCAATCATTTGGGTTGTCATACAACTGGAAGAGTTTGTATCTATTATAAAGTTTCTTAGGCGCTCCTCTTCCTTTCTGGTCCTAAAAAGCCCAACCCAATAGTTCACATTAATTCATACTCCCAAATTTAATTGTTTATTTTAGCTTTTGTCCACACGCGCACACACGCACACACGCAGAGAGAGAGAGAGAGAGAGAGAGAGAGAGAGAGAGAGAGAGAGCAATTTGCATAAAAATATATAGTGCATAAGAATATATAATGAAAAGACTAGGGAAAATCATGTGAAGCCACTATAATTTTATTTTAAGCACCGTCTTTCCATTTTTGAAAGCGAACCTTCCACTGGAATGTGCGTTACTCTAAACTTAATGTCAGCTATTATATCCCGACAAAACGAAGCGCTATTGGAAAATTATGAAGAAAACACTCCAAACGTCGACTTACCAAAAGCCAAGCCAAAAGTCGCAACCACTGGTAGCCAATTGAGCTAAAATGAAACTTATCACGAGATATGATAGTATAAAATACGAGCCACCAGCCTTGAAGTAATTCCAGTACAAAGACTTGGCAACGTTACCCTTGGCCATAAGCTCCTCGACCTCCTGAGGCTCGTTATTATCCTCATTTTCCTCAATCTTTGAATTCAATACTAATGCCATTTGTCCATTTTCAACAATCTCCGGCTCTTCGACTAGTGTCTTCTCCATCTCACTGCTCGACGGCAAGTGACGTATATAGCTTTCATTTTTACTAAAATTCAAAAATGTGCCTTGAAACTCCACTTTGCCCTGAAACGTTGCAAATCCTTTATTTCACCGACTGATGAAACGAAATTATAGACGCGGTGACGGGAAATTTATAGGTTATCCGTGAATTGCGTGAATGAGCAACAATCGGAATAAATAATCACGATTAATGATTAATCGAACAATTACGATAATTCAATTCCATTAATTCGATCGACATCATGAAATTCGTAGAGGATCATTTATTTAGATCGCGTAAGTGATAATGAAGAGAAAAAAATAATTCAAAGTGTTTTTTCTCTGTTTCGGCGAATAGCAGGACAGTCGAACGAAATCAATGGTTTCTTTTTTTTTATTTTGTTGTTGTGCAATTCAAAAATGAGTTCTCGAATATAACATTGCTGACTGCTTAATAATAAATTTATTGTCTTATTGTATTATTACCATCCACTTATTATTAATGTTAATAATTAATGTTGATAATGAACGTGTAATTATAATTAAATCAACAATTAGGTATTAATACTAATTCTAATGATAATTAGGTTTAATCATTTTTTTTCTTTTACCACACAAAAACTCAATCAGTGACATCCGCAAATTAACGTTTATATATTTGTTTATTATCTTTATATAAATTGTTTTAAAGTGAAATGTTTATTTCTGCATAGCTAACGGGAGACTGTATACACACAATAAGATTGAATTCGCATTCACTATTCCCGTTATTATAAATTTACTCAACAATAATTATTAATACTTACGTTATTCAATAAGATAATTGCATCGGCTTGTTTCAAATACTGTATTTGATGTGTTACGAGAATTCTCGTTTTATCCTTCAAATATCCATTGATACAATCCTCGAATAAACTTTTACCAACACGAGTATCGACAGCTGAAAGAGGATCATCTAATAAATATATATCAGCATCTCTGTAAACTGCCCTGTAATAATTAATATAATAAATAAATAAATTTCAAATAATTTAGAAATTTAGAATCCGTTTTACATATATTAATTATAAATTGAAAATATGTCGCTCTTATTGATTAAGAAAATATAACTATAAAATGTATTTTAATAATAGATTTGCAAAAGTAAATAGAAAAATATTAATATTATTATAAGATGCGAAAATTAAAAGGAATACACAGATTGTAATTAAGATGTCGAACAATAATAATAATAATAATAATAATAATAATAATAATAATAATAATAATAATAATAATACGCATTTATCATTGCCAATTCGAGTGTATTAAACTATTAAACTATTTTATAATTATCAATTGATAAATTGAATTCGTATTATATAAATCGACTTATCGTTTATACTAAAAGTACTCGACTTGATAAAAAGATTTTTCATTTTCAGGATGGTGAGCGTGTAACATTTAAAGAAAAATTATATATAAATTTTGCCACACTATAATGGCGGCTAATTTTACCATTTACTTTATAAGAATAACATCAAAGCCGTAATGATATACTTGACTTTTTTAAAATAAATGAAATTTTTAATTTTACCACATATTATTTTGCATTGTTGTATAATTCCTTCGCGGAATGAAAAATGCTTACATCACAAATTATTCTGACTTGCAACTACTTAATAACTCTTCGTATCGCCTTTCTACACGTTCATTATTCACGTATGCACGTATAATTTAATAATGGCCAAATAAATATTGTTCTCGTTGGCGTTTCATATTCTTAAATGTAAAATAACAAATTCCATTACGATATTAAAATTTGAATAACGCTATTGATATTGGCGTATCGAAATTAAAAAAACTATCGATCCATTTCTTTCAAAATAACTGCTTCATTATAGATAATCAACATCTACAAATCTATATGCTACTGTCCATTTATTACTTTTTCTACATCTCGGCATTGTATCTGAATTCGCTTGGCTTTTACCTAAGAATAAATGATAAGCAAATTTAGCGTACAATTTCTATCTTAATTATTCAGTTTATTAAACGTTAAAATCTTTATGCTGACCATCTCTCTATGAATATGTTTTTTTTTTTTTTTTATTTTATTTTATTTTAATATGAAATTTAGATGAGAATCGACCGCGTAATTCTCAGATCTATAAAAAACATGAGCCACATAGGCGGCTAACGATACAAAATAATGAAACGAATGAATAATATTTTTATTATGTGTTGATTAAAGTCAATCGCAAACTCCATCGTATCATCACCACATATCATCACATTGTAGTCTTAGGAAGCAAAACGTACTACCCATTTATCAATCGACGACATTAACTATTTTATTAAATTTCAATTAATCGTCCTTGTAGCTATCATCGAATAATGCGACTTGTCATTCTTTAAATTGACAAACAATTTCGTAAACTAGAACTTATTTTTAATAGCCGTCGAGGACTTCGTCGCACCTTGCTAGATTGATCCTCGCGCACTGTCCCCCGCTGAGGCTGCCGCCCCTCTCGCCGACGAGGCTCTTGTCCCCGTGGGGCAGCTGCTCAAAGTCCTTGACGAGGGCACAGGCCCTAGTCACTACCTGATACTTCTCTTCGTCGTAGGGCGCGCCGAAGAGAATATTGCTGCGGATGGATCCGTTGAAAAGCCAGGGTTCCTGGCTCGCGTACGACATGCTCCCGTGGAGCTGGAGTTTGCCGCTCGCTGCTCGAAGCTCCCCTAGGATTAGTTTCAAGACGGAGCTCTAGAAAAACCAGAGATCACCTTCACCTCACATATTGCGGCTTTATCGCGATTTTATTCGCCACTCAACGCATTAAGTAAAGCTCGGAATTTTTTCTTTCGCTTAGAGAGAACGTTTCTTTTCGTAAAAATTTTTGCTTGAGCTGGGATGTGTGATTTGTCATTAGTAATGGGCGACAGCGATCGATTTACGATTTCATTGAAGGATCGCGGCGATTGTATCGATTACGAGATTGTGCAACAATAAATAAACGCATTAAAAATTTAATTACAATAGATAATTGACTGATGAGATATAATTAATTAAATGTAACGCCATTGCCGAGGTATGTCAGTGCGATAAGGTGATAATGCGTAAGTAACTGGGATAAATCGGTTGTCGATAAATAGAATTGACTAAAGATAATTGTGCTTTTAGTGATAGAACAAAAAAAAAAAAAAAAAAAAAAAAAAAAAAAAACAGTGTTATTTTTAAGATTTTCCTTTTTCTAATATTCTCAATTGCCATATTATATCGTACGTGACAAGCATAAGCATAATTTTTTTCTCTAATTAAGCTATACGCAAAATCTTCAATATTTTCCGAAAAACATCCATAACATGAAATAAAATCTCTTTTACAATTAGGGATAATAAGATTTTTCTCAGCAAGTACGAGTTTTTATTATCTTGCAGCGCACATCTCCATGCAAGAGAAACATTGACATTGAAAAAATTAAATAATTACTCCTATGGCCTAATATTCTTGGCAAAGTATCTCTGACATTAAATTATTTCATTCTTATTCTTTTAAATGAACTTCTCCCTACGCGCGAATATTATTCAAAATTATAATAATTATGTTACCTTTCCCGCGCCAACTGGACCCACAACTGCGAATAGTTTCTTTTGAGGGACGACGATATTTATATCGTGAAGTGTATTGGCGATGGACTTTTCCGACCAGGAGGCATTAACATTTTTCACGAGGATACTTGTATTATCGTTATTAACTATTAAATCTTTAGTATTTGATTCAACTTCTTCGAGAAGCAAAAACTTCTGTTGAATAATAATGAAAAAAAAAAAAAAAAAACATATATATCAAACATGTAAGATTATTATTAATATATTTATTATTTTATTTACTTTATTTGTCGATAATCTTTGAAATATAAATATGTTATTCAACATTTTCTTTAGATAACAATAAAAATTAATATTATAAACTGCAACATAAGACTAGTTTATGAATGAAAAGTGTCCATCATCGATACATATAAAATAATTGTAATAAGAAAATGAAAAATTGAAATTTCTGCTATCCATTAAAATACATAGTTAATTTGAATTTATCAATTATAATTATCTTTTACTTAATTGTCTATTGTAATACATTCTTGTCAAATATATCAAATGATAAATTTATCGTTTATTTTGTTGTTATTTATATTCTTTTTTTTTTTCTTTTTATTTCTTATTTTATTTTTTACATAGACACACAAGCGCGCGCGCGCGCGCATGCGTGCGTGTGTGTGTGTGTGTGTGTGTTGTAAAAAAATTTTAACGAAAAAATCGCGTATCAAAACTTGAAAATGTCGACTTACCTCGATTCTCTTTATTGATATTCTCGCCTCTGCAGCACAACCTACAGCTCGAGGATATAAAATAGCCATTGACAATTGCAATATATTAAAGTACTGTGCCATCGTAAAGACTTTATCGGCTGATATTGTATATCCTTGAAGTACAAAAGCCACAATTGTTATGAATAATGTTGTACGTTCGGTAAATACAAAGGAAGCCAAGTTAATCGCTCTTAAGTATGATGCAACTGTAAGGACATCGACTTCGAGTCTATTGAGAAAAGATGTTAAAACGAAAATATTTGCCAATGTTATTATTATCTTTTTCTCTTTAAAAAAATTTTGAAAAAATCAATTGACTTACTTTCTTGTAAAAGACACTAGTTTTTCAAAAGGCTTCTCCCATGTATACATTTTGATAACCCGAATACCATTTATTATTTCGCTCATTAATAAAACTCTTTCATCTGTCCTTGTGGCGATTTTCGAACGCAATTTGGACATAATTTTAGCACAATATGCTGAAAATTTGTTCATCCTGATAAGATTTTTCAATCATATTTACAATATGAATTCATATTATAAAAAAAAATCGAATAATAAAAAATTCACCGCTACCATTTTATTGCATTTACTCTGTTTATACATAACTTAAACATAAATTAAACAATAATACCGTTTTTCATTTATTAATTCATTTGTGTGCTCTTAAAATTGCGATATTTTTATATTACAAGTTTCATATATACGAAATAACAGTATAATAAATTAAGATTATTCGTTAAAAAAAAAATCGCAATTTCGGTTCCAAGTGTAGTTTAACATAACAATTTTATATTTATGCGAACAAGAATATCTATATTATTATTAAATTTTGCTTTTATTTAAAAAAGTAATATATATATATATATATATATATATATATATATATCAATACACCTCTTACAACAATGATTATAGTTGATTAAATTATAAACAGTATTAGGAACATGTTGTTTATTTTAATCAATTGTTTACTTAATTGAAGTATTAAACGAGGGCTCCGTGAACGAATAGGCCATATTTTTATTTGAAAAATTTGGAATGATACATCGAACCAACCTTGTACCGGAATTGTTTGTAATACCATGAGAAGAACACCAGCTAATGACGCAGCACCAACGTGTCTCCAAATTAAATAGGCTATCACAGCTCCTTGTAAGGGCATAACCCATATGTAATGTAAAAATAGGAAAAGCTGCTCGAATCTAGCAACATCGTTTGACAGTAAATTAGTTATCAAGCCCCCAGTGGCTTGGCTAGCAGCTGAACAAGACAACCGTGTGATCTAAAATTAACAGATAAATGTTAAATGCACAAATTAACAATAATAATAATACTATCGAATGAGCTTACTGGAAAAGAAAACATTAATGAAAACTGTCAAGGTCTGGTAACGAAGATCCGTAATGGATAATGTTATTTCATTACAGAGAGAGAGAGAGAGAGAGAGAGAGAGAGAGAGCAGAAGAAAAAAACGAATGTTCAAATTTACTAAAATTCAACCGACAGTCGTCCGAATTAATTTACTCTTTAGACAGTAATGATATACATACTTTTCTGTAAACTAAAGATGAGCAAGCGATCCTTACACGCATACCAATTTCTAGTTGGCCAAAATTAGAATGATGTCCAATAATTGCCTGCAATATGGCCATCAAAATAACACCAGAAGCGAGCAAATAAGCATCTAATGTTGTTGTTGTGGAGCAAGGATCAAAGTGATAAATAAGAACACCCAAAATTAATGGTTGTAATATTCTATTAAGCAGAAAAGTTCATAAAAAATACACTGTTAGTATATGATTATTTTACTATATCGAATATGTGGCTTGTAATAACAATATGAAATAATTGACTATTTATGATTAATATATCGAATGAAATATAATTTCCCAGACATTCTTTTATTCGGCGTACATTAGACATCGCATTGAATTGAAGCGATATTAAATATTTAAATAAATTATTCATTATTTTATATACGGCATTTTGCATTTACTACCTATTATGCGTAAAAGGATTTAAATTTATTCTACAACTATAATTAAAATTTAGCTTTAAATTAGTCGCAAATTAGTAGGAATTAAATGCCAGATAATAATTATTATAAGTCAATTGCATAATATCTTAGGTAAATGATAACTGAGTATACGATTGAAAAATAAATGAAAAATTCTGTGTAAAAACAAAATTGTACTTATATATATATATATATATATATATATATATATATATTGAATGAGATAAAACTAGATAATTATCGATATTACAGAAATTCTTTTCTTAGTCGACAATTAATTCTCACCTTATAACAATAGCTAAAAATAAAATATGTGTTGCATATTGAAGGTAAGACCATCCAAATGTTTTTCTAATAGCTCTCAATAAACTAGGCTTCTTCTTAGTCTTGTGGAAATTATCCATTTCCCTTTTCCAATATCTATAAACAATGAAAAAAGTGATTTATATTAATATAATTCATCATTCTACATCGTGTTGAGGTTTTAGGTTGGTGGTAATAATTTAATATTTGAAAGATTTATTTTTTGTCAATGGTAAAGTTGAATATCAAAATTATAGTAATAATATTCAAATATTCTATGAACAATATTTATTTCCTCCCTTTTACTTTAAAAACTTGCTCGCAAAGTAATTACCTAATTTTCCAATTTATTTATATAACTCCAAGTGTCGAATAAATCTTTCTGCTAATTTAAAAATGGACAATATAATAACAAAAATAACAATTAACAAACAATGAACTTATTATAAAGTATTAATAATGATTTTTTCATCAATTTACATTACTTTCACAATTTGTCTTCTTATATTATTTCTATGCAATTCACAGGCTGCGATTACTTTTTCTCATCCAGAACCAACGGACGAGCTAATATAAAAACAAAAGTGTACTAATAAGGATGATATATTAAAATAGCATTTTCAGGCAATAAAGAATAATTGGTAATTACAATGTTGACGCTTTGCAATAATAAAGGAAAATATTAAATTTGATTGATAGGCCAATGTCATCAAAGACCATTAAATTTTTACGAGCTTGTAAAATCTTTCATATCGAATTATCTTCTACCGTCCATTGATAATATACAGAAGCCATGTTAATATTTACTTTTCCAACTGATTGCCAAGAGGTTCGCTAAGATCGTTTGGCAAAGCTGTATGAAGATCCTTGGCCTGAATATCGTGCTTCCTTCCATACCAAAAGAGGGGATTCAACCAACTGTGAAATAATAATAAAATAAAATATTACTATAATCGATAGATAAGGCTAATACCTAAATTTTATAGTCGTACAGAACTAAGAGGTCCGGCGAACCATACAAAACTGCAACAGAACGGTGCATTTAGGATAGCAAATATTTTAATAATTAGCAAAATTGCTAGGAAAATTGTTAGCAAAATTCTTAAATAAAATGTTACGCTGACAAATGCTACTAGTACAAAGCATGCGAATCAGTGATGCTGATCGCTCATCGCACACATTATCCACTATACCAGCGGAATCTATTCAAGGCTTAAATTAGAAATATTTCTTACATAAGTCAATCTATTATCACACAAGCAGAATAAATGATAGGATTAGTCAACCACTTGTAGGCTCAATCTCAAATCAACCCATCGAAACAATATTGTGACAAAACTATAAATTCACAAGCACAAGACTCACCAAAATAACAGCTTACTGACGATGTTGGCGGAGAGTCGGGGATTCGCATTTGCACAGCTCGTACTCACATCCATTTTTCACAATAATCATAAAATGTCCCTTATTGTCACGTTTATCACATAAAATGATTTACCGGCACTTTTATGGACGGACGTCGATGTAATCGAGAGCACCCCTACATTTTCCTGCTACCGGTGCAACTTATCTCCGGTTCCTCCGCGCGAACAATCATGTCCGACACATCTCTCGTACTGCTGCTGATGTCTAAATCTAAGCGGCGACTGAGCAGTGCAAAAGGCACATCTCACGCGAACACGAGCCGAATCAAACGACGAGAGAGCATTAGACGATGCGCGACGACTCACGCACACAAATGCCACCGCGAGTACGCTTATGCACGCGCGCGACCGTCCGAATCACTCTTTCTCTCTCTCTCTCTCTCTCTCTCTCTCACTCTCTCTCTCACTCGCTCGCTCGCTCACGCACGCACGCACGCACGCACGCACGCACACAATAACAACAACAGCTACTACCTACAACTACTAGACTACTACTACTACTACTACTACTACTACTACTACTACTACTACTACTACTACTACTACTACTACTACTACTACTACTACTACTACTACTACTACTACTACTACTACTACTACTACTACTACTACTACTACTACTACTACTACTACTACTGCTACTACTACTAAACTACTATACTATATAGGAATGCCCCATGCCCCATAAACAATGTTGAAGTCAGTCGCCCGCACTACTACACTATGCGAAGCTATGGACTTGAATTTGGATGCCTAGAGATCGTATAACACTTTTTTTTTTCTTTTTTTTTTTATGCTCGCCTCCTTATAAAGCCCCTTTTTATAATTCTGATTTGATGATAAAAATACTCATATCGATTGGCTTTTAATTGCCATTATAAATATTCGTCAACGATATTATCGACAAATGTCCGATAATCATATGCTCCTCGATGCTTGATTTTCTGTATTCAAGGC